CAGATAAGGACTAATTCACGCAGTTCATTAACCACCCTTCCAAGCAAGTACCCCACAAGTTGGATGTAAGGATGTTGGTATTGCCTAAACTGGAGATACAAGGATGTTGGTGCTGCCCCATCTCGAAGGACTTACTTGCATAATCTTCATAGCCGCAGTCTTCTGTAACACCGCAGTTATACATAGTGCCCACTCTCCACGTTTGGGTCTCCTTCTAGGAATTCCTAATCCAGAATCATACTTGCACTTGGACTTAACCACAGGGCTTCGCATTCAATTATGGCCCCCTAAGGTTACAGAAACAAATTAAATAATTTGCCTCCAGCCCAACTTGAACTGTCGACCTTCTCTGTGGGGGTTTGAGAGCTTAACCGCTAAGCTACAGGACCCAAACCCTTGCTTTCATCCTTTTTAATTTCCTTTTCGCTCATATTTATCATATAATTTATCGATGATGGGTTGTTATTTGCTATTTTTGCTTGTACTGCCTAATGCTTAATAGTATATTATTACAAAAACCCTTCTGCTTTCTTGAGCACATCATGTATTTAGCTATTTAGTAGCATATCAAATATTTAATTCTTTCTGGATTACTGATTAAAGATCTTTTATTAATTGCTCTATATCGTCTGGTTCTGTAGGCTTTGTTGTACGTAGAATATCTACTAACTTTCTATTATTTAGATATTTAAGTACTTTACTTGCTGTACTATGTACAAATTCAAGAAGCCCGCTAGTAACTGGTATTTCTTTATTAAGTTCTATTTGTTTTTAGAAATTTCTCTTTCTTGATATAAATTTGTTAATTCTGCACAGGCATATTCCTTTTGTTGTTTACTCCAGATAGTATATAATATTGCTTTTCTAAAAAAGATTACATGTTTGTTTGTTTATATATTGTTTTGATCTTTTTTTAGTTACATGTCTATTATTCAACTTTTCAAGATCAAAGAAGAATGTCTACTTTTCTGAAAATTTTTATCTAATTTTTTGTAAAGGTGTTTGTATTGCTGTTGCTTAATCTTTAAACTAGTTGTTGTTTCAAGAAGTTTATGCTGTTTTGTTGTGTTAAATCTTTTTCCTTAGTGTGTCGATGTATGTTTTCTATGTTGTTAGAAAAGTTATTCTTATATTTTAATTTTGTCAACTTTGAAATTAAGGATTAGCAGAAAGAGTTTTGTCTATTAATGTTTTATAATGAAAAAAGTTTATTATATAATAGATAATATATATATATATATATATATATACTAAAAATATGTCTTTCACATGAAATGCTAATATTATTCAATTGATTCTTATACAATATAAATAGTTTATTTTAACATCAGCATTTCATGAGAAGCTATCTCTAATACATGCAAATGTGTCCAAATAAATTACATTTGGGATCTTTCACTGCATTGAACTTATAGCTCTAAGTATATATATATATATACAGTCACACCTCGATATAGTCACCTGCTCAGGATACAGAAATTGGGTGACTATAAAAAGGGGTGACTATATCTGATTACCTTTATAAAGTCACTAAATATATAATTAAATATTTATGATGACTATAAAAATTATTATCTAATTACTGTATTTTAAAATAATTAATGTAGTATATATAGGATTCCTATTTCTATATGACTTGCTTAATAAATTTTATATTAAGAACTCAATTAAGGTTGCCAAATAGTATAGCATGCTCCGGTTTAGCACTGATTTGCCCGTATTTTTAAATCTTCACAAACAAATATGACCTGTATTACTTTAGTGAATTTATAATAGATAAAATTTTTCAGCCTGGTCAGTACGTTATTAACAAGGGCAGACTGTATTAACATCTCAGATCTAAACAGATTCCCTCAGCATAGCCAACAAAAAATCTCGGGTATATAATGATTGAAAATACGTTTATGTTAGGGTTAGCTTTACTTTAGGGTTAGATATTAGCGGGGTATAGTAGTAAAATCACCTAAGAAAGGGCTTTTTGTTAGAGCACTAAAGGTGATTTCTTATAAAATTTTTAGTTATGAGTGATTTTTGGCAAAACGAACATTTGCTTCTTTAAATTTTCCTGATCGTGCTATGTTAGATCAATTATCGATTAGCTATTGGTTAGTTTCCTGTCGATCATCAAATGCCCGATATTTTTTGTTGGGGGAGTTGGTCTAATATACTTTATCGCACTTTTCAAATTTCATGCTAAATTATCATTGTTTGGACCAACCAAATAGCACAACATGATTGATCGGCCAATCAAATTACTGATTTACAAAATTTTGGGATTCATAGAGATTCAAGAAATAAAGCAAAGTGTGAGCCTCTGTTTTCTTAAAGAATTTTTTTACATTTCTTAGAAAAGATAAGGCACATAAGCCTTTCAAAAAAGTATTGTAAAATAACAAAAAAATTCGTTATCAATTGTGTAACAACTCTTGTAACATCCACCGTCTCTGCTGTATAATTAACCGAATCGGGTATGAATCTCAACGTGCTAGATTTTAAAAAAGAATCACTGATCATGTTAAAGGGAATTACAAAAGCCCAGTTTGACAGCATACAACAGTTATAATAGTACTTACATACCGATCCTATGAATATCGCTAAATTGTGAAACCACAAGGAGGTTAAAAAGACAAAAGGTAGTTTGAAATAAATATCATGTTTTTGGCAAGACTCAATAAATACTAAATACAAATGGCACACAATAAATGAGAATTTTAGTAGTTAGTGTTAGGTTCATTTTCCTGTTGCAGCATTAATTTTTATAAAAATTCAAACTAAGCTAATATATTGATCAGTCATGCACAGTGTTTAAAATTCAAAAAAAAAAATACTTGCACAAATGCATTTTGTGCAATTTTTTTAAAAATTTTACTTGCACACTTAATGGATTTTAAAAAATCCAAAAAAATCTAAAAAAAATTCTTGCACATATACATCTTGTGCGAGCCAATTTTAAACACTGGTCATGCATATGTCGCAGATGATGCTGAAGTTTGAAATCTATTAACAATTCTAACCATAAATCCTAAGCTAACCCTTAAAAAAAAACAAAAAAAAATGAATTCCACAAATTTTTAAAATTTCATATCAAAATAAAGTCTATTCTCAGCATCAACCGATTTTAGCTTCAACCGTGACTTTTATTTTCAAATACAAGACTTATTAATATTCAGAAGTAAAATAGTTTGTAATTGACATTTGCTTTTTGGACTTTTCAAATACACGTCTATAATTATTACTTATTTGTCTCAAAAATTCCAATTCTTCGAGATCAAGGCTAGATTCTGAATTCGTCTGCTCTTCGTAGCGTAAAACAGTTTGTATTGCACTATATACCTCTTTAGTTGTTACAGGTGGGGGAGGAGGCTCTTTGTTATCATCGCTTTCCTGTTGATCATTTTCCTCAGCTTGGACCTAACAAAAGTATTAGGAAAAAAGCAAAGTTGTCTAAAACAAAAATTTTTTCTTATGGGCGAATATGATAAAGCACTTAATGCTTTAACTAAACTAATAAAAATTAAACCAGGTAATATACCATGGTGATTATTTCTTCATCATTGAGCAATCCTTCTGTTGCAACGGGTTCATCAACGGTTTGAATATACCTTTCCATAGCCTGAACTATTTTAGGAACTTCAGGATTATCACTCAATGACAAGTCTGTAATAATTTCTGCAACCTCATTGTCATCCAGATTATTTTCAGATTCTTGATATTCAAATTCCATTTCTACCTCACTTGCGTTTGGAAGGATTCCCGTTTTACGCCAGCAATTTTGAATAGTTATATCAGTCACGTCACACCATAACTCTGAAATAAAATTAACCGCTTGTCTTACATTTAGCTTATTACTGTAAGTATAAAAAAATGATTAAAATTAAAACAAAAAAAAAAAAAAAGGTTGATACTAGAGTTGCTGGTAAAACTAAATTAAGCTGATAAAAACTGGTGATTATCTAAAATCAGATTTTAGACAGTCATGCAACTCTAGTTAATACACAGCAAATCCAATTTACTGTGTATCAACCTATACTATAAAATATAAGATTTTGCTAACCTTTCCAGATCGATATTAGACTCAAATTGATTAAGAATATGCCTGCAATAAAGCTTTTTGTACTTAGATTTGAACGATTGAATAATATCAGCATCTATAGGCTGGAGGTGCGCAGTTGTATTAGGTGGAAGGTAATGAAGTTTAATGTTTGTAAGTTTAAATGATTTGATGTCAGTATCTTTTTTTTTTGCAATATTTTACTGGACGTTCTATATAACATTGTTTGTGGTCTCCCATGTAGTCTCCCGCGTGGTCTTCCGCGTAGTCTCCCGCGTGATTCTTCATGTGATTCTTCGTGTGATTCTTCGTGTGGTTGAAAATCAGATCGATCACCGTCATTATCTTCAGGATTAGAAATCTCATCATTTTCATTATTATCAAGATCTAACTGATTATTTTCAGTTTCTTGATCTTTATTGTTATCAATGTGAGGATTGGATGGTTCGGGTGCACTATGGGACTTAGCATTATCTACAATTAACAAGACTTTTTTGCCTTGAATACGAAAGCCTTTATCATGAAATTTTAACCAGTCTTCCCAAATATCTGATCTCATCCATGCACGCTCATTATTTTTATACATAACCGGAAGCTGTGAAATCCTTATACCATTGAAAGACCGTGGTTTTTTTGATTTACCAATAACTAGGGGCCGAAGTTTGTGCGAGCCAGTTGCATTTGCAGCCAGCAGCATGGTAAGTCGTGATTTATCCTATAGTAATACAGTAATACATTATTAATCTCTAGTTTTATTCAGAATGGTAAAAAAATCAAATTTTCTTACTCTTTTTTTTCCAGGAACTGCTTGCTTCGCTAATGTTTGATGCGGTAGCATCTGAAAAAACAATCCGGTCTTGTCAGCATTATATATATTGTCAGGCTCATATTGAAAAAGAAGTTGTTTTAACTTAATTCTCTCATTCGACAAAGACTCCAGGGGTGCACTCGCAGCTTCTTCACTAAATCTGTATCGACTTAAAGAATTTCGTTTTTTGAAATTTGCAACCCACCCATTCGAAAACTTAAGGTCATCCTCAGAAATGCCAAGATGATTGCCAAATTCACAGCCTTTTAATTTTATCAAATCGTCCGTAAGGACCATACCAGCAGTGGAAACTTGGTAGCTTGTTTTTATATCGGGTTTGTATTACGGCAGTTTCTTTAAGGTAAAGATATTGATCACTTTTTTTTAAAGTCTTAGAGATAGTTGATCTATCAAGGTTTAGCGAAGGGTATCTTCTCATGAACATGTTAGCGATGTCCTGGTGTCTATCTATTGGGTATGCTTTAGAATATTCACATATTTCTTTACATTGGGCGTTACTAAGTCGGCTACGTGTTTTCTTTAATACGTGATCAGGAGGCATGGTAAAAAAAGAACACGAAACGTGAAAGTTAGCAAAAATAGTAGACTATAGTATGTATGACTTTTTATATTGTTTTACAAGCAACTTACCGAGAAAAAAAAAAAAAAAAAAAAAAATAAGAATAAACTTTTAGTCAAGGGGTAAGCAATAGTTTAGGATAGTTTAGGATAGTTTAGGATATTAGGATAGTCTAAGATAGTTTAGAACTACGATTGTGTAAAAAAAAAAAAAAAAGGACACAAAAATAAGCTTTTAGCCAGGAAGTAAGTAATAGTTTAGGAGAATAGTTTAACCACGATTATGTTTATCTTTTAATGTGCGTACAGTTTATTAGTACAGTTCATTAGAGGCAGTTTAAAGTGTCAAAGTATCATTATTATGATTTGAATTGTTCTTCGCTACCCAACTAAAGGCTCTTTTTATAGTTCTTTTCCTTGGACGTACAAATACAATTATCTATGCATAACTTCTGTGAACTTCTACATATTAGTACATATGTATGTATATGCAAATGCACGCCTTATTGTCATGCTATGTTTGTTACAAAATGGATACTTGAATTGGAACCGGTTAAGTCAGCTAAAATTCCAACGTTCTGATTTAAATATATATATACGTACGTACATATGTACGTGATGTACCAGTCTATATAAAATCTTTGCAAAGGCATATGTTTATGAGTATGCTCCGTGGGTTACAACAAGTTGACAAGCTTAGTCATTACTGGCTGTGATATGAAATCTATTATATTGTCTAATTTCTCTTGTAATTTTGTGACTATATCAAGCATATTTTTTATATATTTAATAGAAATAGTAATATGAAATTAGGTGACTGTGATTATATTGTGTTTGTGACTATATAAAGAGTAAAGTAATATAAAATTAATTGGTAAATATAAAACTGTGATTATATCGAATTTGTGACTATATCAAGAGTGACTATATCGAGGTGCGACTGTAGTAGATTATCTATCTATTATATATTAAGTAACTAAGGGGTGATAAATCATATGAGATAAACACTATGAGACAAAACTTGAAATTGATTGGCTGCCAGATATATATGCTGTCATATAATATGTGAACATAAGGATCTACAAATTGGTGGTTACACAAAGTATTAGTCTATGATCAAAATAAAATTAAGCATCTTTTCTCAAACTTTCAAGTAAAATAAAACCAACTCTATCAGTTTAATGTATTTTTGGGTGCTGAACAAATTTTGTTAGTGCATGAAGTTAGAATTAATTAATAATATTTTGAGAAATCTAAGATTTTATAGAATTTTATTAATAAAATTTTACAAACTCTTAAAATTCTCAAAATTTTATTAATTAATTCTAATT